TCACGAAGCTAGTCACTACTGAGCACATGTTAATTACTAGTATACGGGTTGTGGAGATTATTGATTTTTTTATTGAGATCATGAATCGATTGATTTTAGACCATCATTGAAAATCTGAGAGCACTGGATGGCCGTTTCGTCCTAATGTGGGACTCCTCAGCAGTGCGCACCCACGATCCCGCTCACGGGTGTGTGTTGAACAATATTTGTAGTTATTCTGATCAAATCATCATTGATAATAACATTTGAAAAATTATTTTAATATTGTTGATATGTTCTTTCACTTTTTATATGTAAACATTTTCAAAAATACACGTTTTATGGTTTTGGCATTTAAAGACAATAAGAAAAAAATAATTGAATTTGTCTACTTTTTTTTCAAAAAAAATTATTCAAGTGAGGAGAAACGAAATTAGAATTTATTGTAAGCTGTAGAAATCCTTGATGATGAGAGCATAGGAAATTGACAATACTTTTGACTGGATTTAATACTATGATAAACAATTAGTATTAAATGTTAATTAACCATTACCTGTAGATTTGATTGGTAATAAACATTTTTGTAGAAATAACGCTAATCAATGAACTGGTGCTCAGCAAACAATAAATGTGTTTTTAACGATGGCAGTAATTCAGTGAAAGGGAAAAAATGTAATTTATTTAACAACTACATGTTCATTTACTCATCTTTAAGTTAAATTGGTTATGCATAGGTTAAAATACTACTTAATTATTGGACGTTCGAACGTCAGTCTATTAATCAAACCTCTAATTTTTGAGTCATTAAATCTTCATTCCCTACAATAATTCAAATATTCCAATGCAGATAATTCATGTCAGGTAGAGACAGGTATCTACGTCAGTACAATGGAAGATGATCGCGCCATTTCGTGGGTTGGTTGATGTTTGACATCAACACCGTTAGATGTCGACTCAGCGGTCCGGAGGTTAGGCATTCGCGCACTAGAACGAAGGCCCTGAGTTCGAATCGCGTAAGCGGGACGTGGATGAGCACTGCTGTGGTATCCCACAATAGGACGAAATGGCCGTCCAGTGCTTCCAGGTTTTCATTGGTGGCCTGACATGAATCGGTTCATGACTTCAATCAAAAACTTAATAATCTTCACAATTCTATACTGATTATTCTAGAACTATTGTAAAGTGATGACAGATTGGTTCTTTAAATTCGCAAATAAAAATGCGAAAGAAACTAATATCCTCCTAAAAATCGACAAGTGTAGATGTCACAAATATTTGTAACAATCAAATAAGACAAATGAATTATGAACTAGGTACATCCAGCTGACAAGCTCCAATTCGGACGAGACGCATGTCCTTCATTTCCCTACTAATTAGCATTCATCTCTGCTCATAAGTGAATTATGTTTTACAAAATTTTGTACTAACTAGTCGTGAGTTTAAACTTTATCCCACTTTATTATACTTGAAGTAACGGGTAGCTCTCGTAATCTTTACACAATGCATAACCGACAGCTTATAATATTTTCATTTATACTCCGTTACTATACTCTGTTATGAAGTTAAGATCCTATTCTGTTAGATGAGGTTTATTACAACTATGCGGAATATTAGTAACACATTTTGCATAATCTGGTCATATATATTAACTTGTTAAAGTACATGTGAGAAATGAACAATAAGCAAGACAAATGTGGTCTTCTGAGTGCGTAGCCTAAATTTATCAGTGAGATATTAAATGTTTTGTTAAATACGAAGATTGAGATATATGAAAAATTAGTCAAAGTTTAAAGTGTAAATCAGTAAGCTTATTTTCACTGACTCAGTTATATTGTATTAATTAAGAAGTGTGAAGATTTCGGGCTATGATCTATATGTAATCATTGATTTCCACCCATATATAGGACAAACCAACTGTCCAATGTTGACTGATTTATAATATTAACTGTCCTCAATTTACAAAAGATCTTAAAAGAAGTAGTCAAACTATGTATTCTCTGGTTTGCCCTGTGTACCAATCCCAGTAATTGTGAATTTGTACTAAACTGTTTCCTTCCTTGCATTATCTCATACCTTTATCACAGCAAACTTCGTGAGAAATGTAGACATACACAATATTTCATACCGAATATTTAAATAAAATACTGATTATTGAAATATAACTGAGTAGTAAAAACTTTTTAATGTCTACTCATTGCCTCACTAAAAAGATATAGTAGAACATACAACAAGAAAAAGGAATTGGATATTTATAGTTTCAATAAAAATGTCTTATATCCTCACAATTGATTGATGGGTTTTAGCATTTGAGCGCATTTATTGGTTTCATAACTTAGAATTTATTAATAATGAAGCTAAGTGGAAGCTTGACTTTTTGCCGCTTTCTAAAAAACGAAACTAAACTTAATGGTATTTATACGGCTATTAAAAGTTGTCAAAAAACCGCATCACCAAACAGTGACTAAAAGGTATTCATCTAAGTCCGTTTACAAAATGCCCGGTAGTACGTTATGTTAGTTTATCTCATTTTGATTTCAAATAGTAGTTTTGACCAAGCGAAAATCAAGCGTTACCAAAAAGGTTGAGTTAGTGAAAAACTTTCCCCTCCAATTTTTAATTCAGAACTAAAATTTCGGTTTACATATTAAACGTTTTGATGAATCATTAAGTTCCAAGATATAGAAGGTAGTCGAAAATTTTCAACTCTATAGTAAAACAGTTTACGTAACTTGCTGACAGAAGCATTCTTCAAAAAATGAAACTGTTGTTTAGTGTTTACGTCGTTATTGTATGATTAGAGAAGCCTATAAATTAACACAACAGACTTTCATTACCGGTCATCTGATTTTATTTCCTAAACTTTAAGTTCATCGAAAATTTGATTAATTTGGATAAAACATACTTATGTCAAGTTCAACTTTATTTATGTCAATCTATTCATTTATCGATCAAGTACAAGGCTTTAAATAACTGAAATAAACTGCTTTAACTAATAAACAATAAATTTCAGAATAAATAAATAGTATATTTGTAATATCCCAATGAGTAGAAAAATTAGATTTTCTGACGTTTCGTGGCTTAGTGTAAGTCACTTCTTCAGAGAATTTGGTTGTTTGTTCTCTGAAGAAGTGACTTACACTAAGCCACGAAACGTCAGAAAATCTAATTTTTCTACTCATTGGGATATTACAAATATATTATTTAATTATTTATAACAATCTACCCAATGCTCAATTTATTCGAAATTATCAAATCAAACCTTGGTAATGATACCAATAAATTCCAGAGTATAATCCCTATCCTTAATCATAGAAAATTGCAAACTAGGAATTTCTATATCAATCTTGTATGATTAATGACAGATAAAACGTCTGACAAATTTTTTTTAATGTTTGATGGAAGATACAAAAATCAAATATAATTTTTAGAGATTTCCAGGAATATGTTATCCATAAAATACAGAACAGACTATTATTTAAACATTTGAAAGGAAAATAGTCATTAGTCTTTTACAACCTATATGTTTTATACAAATGTATTAAATTTCACAGATTGAAATCACGAGTCAATTGAAGCTAGACAACCATGGAAAACCTGGAAGCACTGGAAGGCCGTTTCGTCCTAGTATGAGACTCCTCAGCAGCGCGCATCCACGATCCCGCACCCCGTGAGATTCGAACCCAGGACCTATCCGTCTCGCGCCAGGCGCTTAAACAACTAGACCACTGATCCGGCATCCAACGGTGCTAATGTCTAACTTCAACTAATCCACGAAATTGAGTGACACATCCACTAGGTTTTCCATGATGGTCTAGCTTCAATTGACTAATGATTTCAATTTGTGAAATTTCTAAAATCTCCACAAACCCCTTCTGATAAAATGTCTTTCATGTATAAATGTTTAATTATTCCCATGTTTACCAATCGAGCGTTTATGTCGAGAATATTCTGTTTATCAACAAAATGCTTAAAGATTTAAGTTAACAAATACTTAGTGAAATAAACTTAATTTTCTATCTTCCTTTTATATAAAACATTTCTCATTTCTTTAAGAGTGTGCCTGAAGCAATAATTTGGAATGATCGTGTTTATTATTTTTATTGTTAATTTGTTATTCAGACTATATATATATATATATATATATATATATATATATATATATAGAGAGAGAGAGAGAGAGAGAGAGAGAGAGAGAGGAAGATGGATAGATAAGGCTGTTATTTAGTCGTTAACATATTGTGATCATACACATATGTTTTTAATGAATTATTACACTTGGAACTTTATTGAAAATGGATACAGATACTAATGTAATGTATCTAAAGTTAATGAATAATACCAAACGTCATTTTTGTCTAATCTTTTAGTGCTGATTGAATTCTATCAATCAAGTAGTAATGTGGTCACTACTCAATAATATGTTTCAATGGAAGGCGGTTCGAGGTAAACAGCAAGGAACTTTAGGTCTCATATCGTGCTGTTTGGTATTTGACATTAAGATCTAACTGAAATCTTGATGGAATAAAATTCGATTGGTACTGAAGGACCAGTCAAACAGTGCACCGACCAATACTCCATGATCACTCAGTGTAAATACCTTAATGTTATAAGACGTCAGTCGCACCACAAATGGGTTATTAGTAACGTATCGGACTGCGAAGCTAAGTGATGTGGGCTGAAATATTACAGGCAGAATGAGTTTCATCAGCAGTATAGATACAACCTACTGACAGAAATCAAGTAGTATGAAATCTAAATCAAACAGGGTTTCGCACTGACTGCCTTCACCACCTAAAGTTACAAACTTCATTTCACATTTACTGATGGGATTAGGAATATTTCGATTAAGATTGAATTAAAATTACTGATTATTTTGAAGTGAGTTGTGTACCATAAACTTTATATCCCCGACAAATGAACCAAGAATATAAATTGGACCATGACAGATTACACAATGAAAAATGCATTTGCTACAGCACACACATTATTTTTAAATCGGTAGTAAACTAATTTGAACTCACTTTGTTAGCATGATTACTCTCTGAACTGTCTGACATATGAAGACGGTTTAGTTCATTAGCTTCTGAACCCTATGATCACAACAATAAACAACAATAAGTTATATCATGGTTCAGAGTAAAGAAATCACAAAATCCACCGTTACTAAATTAAGAATTTACTTTTGATCATTGAATATGGAAGAACAGACAGCCGATGCACTTGATAAAACAAACTTTAATTCACTTAAATTATAAAGTACATTTGGTATGATATTTTGTGAAGTCCTAAATAAAGATGTAACTTTTGCCTGAGACCTTATAAAGTATATTTACTATTTAATAGATGAACAAGTTCCTGATTGTTAAACTTCCACCTGAACCATGTTTTAAATATCACTGTTTTTTAAAACATGATTTGTTAAAACTAAATGAATGAATTTATACCTTGAGTGGTGATACGATCCAAAGTCTACTGTCTGTCATCTTTTTAACTCAAAGCTTAAATGGTGTTTACGGAGGACAAATAATATACTGTTATTCATTTAATCGAATAATTATTACTTAATTTCAGCTAAGATTCATAATACACTCGAATTAATTTTTCCGATATCATTATGAACAAAGGAGGTCTGAACACTTTAAAAAGGTTGTTAATGGTATATTTAAAAAGGAATCTTATAGTCTTATCTAATTTTTCGAAACTTCCGTAGCAGATGTTTTAAAAATTTTATTAAACTTTAAAATTTCAACTCATTTACCAAGTACAGTCAGCTATGAGCGACAAAATTTTTGTCGAAGTTAGTGATACTACCTAGCCGGACACATCATAATCAATTATTCCCGGTCTGAATCTCTGACGTACTGCATGAAAGCTTGGTATTTTGTCCACTGAGCTACCTCATACAACACCCTAAAATTATGTCAAATAAAATTGTTTTGTATATTGATCACATCAAAGATATAAAAACTTACTGATTTATCTGACAATGAGCTTTCTGGACTCATTGAATTCGATAAACCATCGCTACCACCCCTTGCGGCCAATGAATTAGCTTTAAGGCAATCACGTCGTGTAAAAACTTGATCTGGTGTCCAACAGCCAGTTTCATTGACTGTAATATTTTCTTCACAGTCACGTTCTTTCGTTATTCCTGGATCAGAGTTGTTTGTACCTTGATTAGTGGTTAATGATCCATATGAGCGGTAAACATCTGAACGCTTAGAACGAACATACGAGTTATTATTATTGTTATTAATATTAGTTTTGATGATTTCATGTTGATCAGATGATGATGTAGGGATATAAGAATTTGAATTTGCTTGGTAATTTGGTGTAGGAGATGAAATTGGAGAAGTATTTGGATAGTATATCTGTTTCTCTACATTGGGTTGTAAAGAATATTTTGGCTGCGTTTTTGTACTTGAGTTCTAAATAAAAGAATAGATATGTTAGAAATACATTAATAACACATTCCATTCTCAAACGAACAAAATCTTTATTCTGACAGGATAGACCAAAGGTTTTAACTTTCTTTACATCTTTAAAAGTAACTGATATTTAAAAAAGGTGTTTATAATAAGAGTTTAAATGTCAAATTTCACTTGTGAAGTACTGCAATAAATTTATCACAGCAAGTTTGTTGATCACTATGATAAATAAAACTCTTTTCAAGCAGAAACAGACGATTACTCTTGATGTTATCTACATTTTCTTAATAGAAAGTTTTTGAAAACTCTTGCCTCAGCAGTCCAGAATTTAAACGTTTGTGCACGAAATCAAAGGTCCTACCTATGTTTGGTTTCCATTTTCGGGGTGGCGGGTGCCCATTGATGAGAAACCTTGTATTAAGACAAAACAACTGTCTGATGTTTCATGGTTATCAATGGTTGTCTAGCTTAGATTGTTTTGTGATTTCGATGAAATTCAACAATTACTATAAACCCATACTGATGAATATCTTGTTGGTTAGTTAGTTAATAAACTAGCTCCTTTCAGCCATAACGTTGTAAGTTAACATTTGTTTTCCTAACTGAATTCAGGAGGTGGGTAGATGTGGCGTTCATGCTATGATCTTCAAGTCAACATTTTTTTAAAATATTGAAATACATAACTCAGACTGAATTAGATTATGTGAGGCTTGAATGAGATTTATACAATGATTTAATTTTTTCAACTAATATCACTATTCACTGTAAGCTATATTTATATGCGATTCTATAATTAATGAGTTAATTCAGTAAATAACTGTCAAAGACTACTATATAGAAAGACTGAGTAAAATGTGGTGTTCTTATCTATATCCATTACACTTTATTAATCTGGAGTTCTATCTCCCAGTAAATCTATTACAAATGATTAATAAATAAATTAAAAGATTACTTCATTCCCTTGATTTATTACCCTAATTTTGTTTCTGTTTTGCTCCCCCTAAAGATCAATACTGGTATTTTCCATGTATATATATATATATATATATATATATATATAAACGAAGTTCTTTTTTAATTGTTTTCTCTATATCTCAAGACAGACATGATAAATGCAGAAAAGAACAGTTCTTGAGGACATCGAATAAATGTTTGTCAACATCAAATGATTCATACAGGTAATTTTGTATTTTGTTTCAATTCATTAATCATCAAAAGCAAACTTATATAGTATGCTAATCACTTTAAGAATAATCTTTCAGATAAAATTTATTTTCAGTATAAAGATATATATACAATGAAATCAATAACCTTACTCGATATAATCCTCTTAGTTCATTAATAAGCTGTTTCTGAGTATCAAAATTTTGATACGATTGAGAATTATAAACTGGAACTTGAGTTGTCCTTTGTAATTGAATTGTTTCTCTATCTTTGTCATTTAAACCACCATCATATGAGTTTAAATGATGTGGTTTCATTCCATTCATTGGGTTGTTCGCATGAATAACAGACCACGATTCATCACTTCTAAGTTGATTTCGTTGTGGAGATTTTTGCGGTATTTGTGAGGGACCATTTGATTGTCGGATTAATTGCGAATGAGGGGAATATGAAGAACTAGGCGGAGAACTAGTAGGGCTTGCACATGCATCACCAGCTCCAAGAAATGCAGGCGGCGGTGGAGGAGGTGAGGGTGAGGAATCTTTCTTTAAAAATCTACTATTATCATTATGATCATATTCATCATGATTTAATTTAGCTGCCCATTCTGCACAAATATAGCCATTATTTTTGTTTAAATTTTCTTTTCTATCAGGCACTGATAAAGAAATTACAGGTTGATCACTAACTATTACTGATGAGTTTGAAGTTTCTACTGTAGATTTGTCAGAAACAGGATATGTTGGATGTTTGCCATTAGAGGATGAAGCTAAACTGTAACGCTGAAATTAAAAGCAGATCATGTTCGATAGTATGCATTATTCCGGTTTGTGAATTATGAAAATAAAACTATATTTCTATTTCTATTTTGACAGAATTTATTTTACTGATATTAAAGCTTTACAATATAAGTAAAAGTTTAAAAAGAATTGATTGATATTAAGATTATGAATCATTGAATTTAGATTTATTACTTTTGAAGTAACCGCATTTTTTTGTAACTCCCGTAGGCTCTCGGTTCAATGTTAAGCGGAGCGGTGAGTAAAATTAAGTCACGGAGTCTTAAGTTATGCTCTGCGGTCTCTAAATTTTCTCCAACTGATATCAGATTAAGACTAAATGTTGAAACTATATTGTTATGAAGTTCATTCTCCTTATCCTTTTGAAAATTATATAAGTTTGATTGTATTTATATCTGTTCGAAATAATGTCATTTACTCACCTAGTGAATTATTAATCAAATGAAATTTGCTCTATTCAAGAACAGAGATTCTTTAAAGTTTGATATTGACTTCTATAATTATAATGTTCATTGGTTAGAATTAAAAAGTTCTAATCTGAGACAAATTAAATATTTCATAAGTTCTGTTTAACAGTGATTTGCCAGATGACACCAGTTTGTGAATGAAAAGTTTTTTTTAAATATTTATAACATTAATAAATATTCATAAGCAGAGATGAATGGTAGCTAGTAGTGGAATACACGATATGTGTTTCGTCCTATTTAGCACTTGTCAGCTGGATGTAGCTACTAGCGACTATCTATCTCTGCTTATAATGCTTGTGATTTGAGGCAATATCGAGACAATCCGCACAGGATTCAAAGATGTCAATAAGAGACTGATCAATTGCAGTCCTAAACATCAATGGGAATAGCTAAACAACTAATACAAAATGACTTAATAAATAATGTTTAGATCATATTATTTTAAAGCAATTTAATTGGAATTCTACATGGTTATATCATTTGAACACCGTAGATATAATCATATTTGTGACTAAATTACAGATATGCGGAAGTATATAGCTACATATTATTAGGCTATTAAATACAATAATTACTATGCAGAGTAAAGCTGCATCTAGAAAAGGGAACTCATAAATGAAATTGTAAATTCTCTGTTATCCAACAATCCAGTTGATTCTAAACAGAAATCGATAGAAATTTTGATGGACTGGTGAAAATTTAGCATGAACAACCGAATATCACACATTACAAATACCACACTAGAGCTAACCGATATGAAATTTACATAAAGACATAAACCTATGAGGTATGTTTGTCATCAAAGCACATGATCACTTGACTATTAGTTTTGTAAACTTAATAAAGATTCTAGACAAATCAATTGGCATGATGCATGTCTGTCTTAGTTGTTGTCTATGTGTTTACTACTAAAGGAATAATAGTGACGAGTAATTTTGTTTTTGTAGTTCGAGAGAAAGAGCAATGACAAACATATCTCTCATCAGTTATAATTAAAATAATCAAAAATTAGAAATAACTATTCTGACTCATTTTATCAACTTGAATTAACCATCAGTTAGAATTCAAAATGGTCGGAATATCTCTTTTGGCTGTATGAGTTGTGCAAAGAGTGAGAGATGACATGGTAACAAACAAAGAAAGAATTTTAACCTTGAATTACTTGTAGAATGTAAATGTAACATTTTTTTGTAAACTACTTATGAAGATGATGAATATTGATTACTCCATACTTCATATCAGAATCAGGTTGTGGAAATATATGCGTCTTTGTACTAAGGATAACAATCTTTTTAATTATAGTCAAAGTAAGAAATGGAATATAAAGAACACAAAAATATTTATCAGAAAAGTGATAATGTAATAAAGCTTTGTAAAAAAGTATTTGTGCAGTACAACTCACAATATAAACTTGATGATTCTTTAAGAGCTCCCTTGATGAAATTAGTTCTAGTTCACATATTTAACTACGAAAATCGCATTTAGAAAGTAATTACAACTGAGAATTATTGATGCACTGTTCGTTGAGAGCACTAGATGACTGAACTCAAAGCTGAGTTCTATAGGAAAGAATAATTCTCTACTTTTTATTCCTTTCCTATTCCATTTATTCGTCGGATGATTTTCACTACTGATGATATTCTAATTTGTCACAGCCAACTTTCCTTCTTACTGACTTCCCTAACAAGTTTGATATTTGTTCCAACTGTTTATTGCACAGTATAAAACTAGAATTTTTATTTTCTTAATCTACTATCGTAGGTACTCAGTTCTGAGATCCAATTTATATGTATGAAGGTTAGTGTTATTATAATTAGCAGTTTAAACTTAAATAAATAAAGAGGAGTTTGAAATTTCAGCTCATTGAACAAGTATTGGATATTTTCTTCAACCACTAAAGTGACTGGATCAAATAATTCAATTAAAACATTGAAAATAACGAAGCTGATACATTCAGTTATACTAAATAATAACTAGTTCAAGTAAATTATACATCAATGAAATAAAACAAATCGATTCATCGTTTGCCTGATTTCTTTATCAACGGTGCATGTAGGTATAAATAATCATTGGTACAAATTATCATAAAACAAAATTCTTCAGTTCACTCTATAATTCTATTTGTTTTTCATTGAATAACTGAGTCATTAGATGAAATTGAAACTGGACTAAATTAAACAAAGTACTTACCTATCAAAACTAGTTTAAAATTAATGTAATAATATATACAAATCTTTTTTTAATATCTCTCTTTCTGTATCAGTTAACTAGGAATATGGTAAGTGGAATTCTTTTACATATTTATTGAATTGAAGACCACTTAGTAGATAGTAATTAAAGTATCCACTTTAATTATTAAGCAACAAAAAATTGACATTTTATTTGAATTGTAATATTATACCTGTTGATAGTGACTGTAATTGATCGGTTAGAATAAAAACAACGAAAAAAAGTACCTCAACTCAAGAATATGCATATTCTCGTCTGTTGATGTTAAGAAACCTACTAAATATATGTTCATTTTGAGATTGCCATTATACATTGTAAAGTTGAATAATGTTTAACAATGGAATCCAGAATAGGCGTTTCATTTAATTCTGGATTTGTCATCTGGATGTATCTGAACCTTTGTATTTATGTTCATATCAGAATTGGAAAGCAGTATATTTCAAAGTAGTTATAAAACGTGTTGTTATTGTACAGGCTAACTAATAAGTGAGAAAAGAAGACTAAACAATTCTTCTCAGGTCGAGTTAACGGTTTTAGCTATCAGTTAAAGTAAACCTTCAGAGATAAACTTTAAATACTTGGTTTTAGCAAAATATCAGTCATGAATGTTCCATTGTCGAGTGATTTGTTATATATTATAACTTATTCTTCATATTTTTCAATGTTGTATTAATTTAGGCTCAGTTATTTGTCTATCAACGCTCTGTACCACAAATAAATTAATGAAATGAATTTTGAAGCTGCAATATATTGAGGTACCTAGTGAAATTAGATATTCAATAATTACTAATAATATGTCCTTATTCTTGATAATAGTTTGACATTTATTCATATAACATTCAATAACTAAGTAACTATCTAAAAACGATAAAGCCAAACAAAGTATATTGTTCCTTACTCGAGTGAACTGATTATTTTCCTGTTCTAATTCTTTCATTTTCTCTTCAACCACTTCAAGTTCTCTTAGGAGACTACTCAAATCATGTTCAGCTGTAGCTTCTAACAGGAAATAAAAAGAAAAGAAAAACAATAGTGAATTATTAGAAATACTGTTTATGAAAAGGTATTATTAATTCAATAGTAATTGATTATGAATAAATAATCTGACAAAACCTTTAAATTAAATGTACATTGATAATTTTTCACTTCGTCTTAAGATTTACGGGTTTCATATGAAGAATCTAATTGCAGCAGTTAATTACTGTTTGACTATTTACATAAAGAGTACCTGTAAGGCGGTAAAGTGGATGGCAAAAATCATGGAACGATGTTTTTTCATAGTTGTCATTTGTGAACAAGGCTTACTGGAAGTTTTGGTCAAAATAATCTTCCACAGTGGATTAGAACCAAGGAGAAACTGCAATGAAAGTAAGATGGATTACGAAGAACACTAACGATCTATACAAATATAGCAGTGGTCACTATTTAGTAATCTGTCGGTTGTTATTCGTCGTGTACTTGTTCATTATCATAAATTCAAACAGAGAATTCGTTTTCATTAATTAATTAGGGTCATTTAATCTGAATATTACAGAAAATAGTCCAACTTTAATATTTTAAATTCAGTTTAGCTTCGGTCTTAATTATGGTGTTCATGTAACGATATTTTGAGTAGAGTAGAGTAGATTTGTAGACAAGAGCTCATAAAAATACCTTTACACTAAAGATACTTAGTTTGTAAGTACTAATTAGCTCTATTTAAATAAAACGGAGCTTATTTTCATGTGCTTCAGTCTACGACTTATGAGCAAAACAAAAGGTTTGACCAAAAAATAAGAACATAATATCTGTACTGTGTTATTCACCATAAGTTGAATAATTTCAAAGTGTGCTATATGACCTCCACTAATTGAATGCTTGCTTTTTGTAAAATAAGCAATTTCATTACATTAAAAAGTACCACACATTAAAACAATAAAAGGTTTACTAAGCACTCTTTCAAAACTGGAAAATAAAAACAGTAGTACTACAGAAAACGATTCCCATCCGTTATTATCCAGGGAAGAATAACCGTAATGTTGAATTTATCTGAACAAAATATCATATGACTTGTATTGAAATTTTCATGTTATATTGAGTTACTTAGTCGAAAACTGAGTATAATTCTATTCTCTAATGTTTTTGAATTACATTCTATGAGTGTCAGTCAATGAAAATACGAAGTTAGTAAAAATTAGTCAAAGATAACGATGGATATGATCAAGTAATATCTGTCAACTAACATAAGCACTTCAAACACGTCACAACAAGTATTAACTATTTCAGATTGTTGTGAACATATCTTATAGTTTATCAAGTGCGTACATCAACTTTGTGATGTAAGCACATCCAACTGACGAGTCCCAAATAGGACGAAACTCGCGTTCTGAATTCCACCGCTAACCACCATCATCTGTTTAGAACGATTATATTCTTATTAAATAATAATTAACATATTAGAAAGGGACATAATATTATTTGAAAATAATATAAACCCCATCCACTTGTGATAACCCAGGTAAATTAGTTTTGAAACGATAATGTCTTGAAAAATTTTCATGATTACAGATGTACATTAAAAACTGAATAATCAATAAACATTTGAAGTTTTAATTGTGCTGACCATTTGAATATATAATTAATAAGAATGGCTACATTAATTGAGTGATTCAGTCTTGGATCCTGCATCTCATCTCTGGTAAGGCTGAAGATGTTCACTACTAACAAGTCTCACGTTAAGACTGAATAAGTGTCCAGTGCTCTTTGGTTTTAAACGGTTATCTAAGATCGATCTATGATATAAATTACGTAAAAAGAATCAGTCATATGAGACATTTAGTCTATACTTTAATTGTATACCACTAAAAAACATTTGGTTGCTGCACAAAAAATCTCACACCTAAACCATAGCGCATCCTTCCAAAAATTGTTCCGTTGTCTTTACCTTTAGATGTATTTGAAAATCTAATTTTTTTTAAAGAAAGCAAAACACTTCCAAATTTTCACTATTGTTTCTCGACATAAACTAAGGAATCAAGTGCCTTTTGTCTGACCATGAATTCAACTCCTGTTATCGTTCAACACACATTCTGTAGCTAGTTAGATTGTGAAGATGGTAAAATAGACTTTATTTGCAAATAATTTCCGCCATGAAATAAATTTCTTTATAATCTCGTTTAATGTTTACAGTCGTGGATATAAATTACTGTTACAGTTTGACGTGGAATTTCCTGACAAACTGTCCAGATAACACACTGATTGTTGTTCATAAAGTACACTACTACCGAGACCACTACTTGTTCTCATTTCATTAGTTATCATCTTAACAAGCTATTAATACCATTATTGTATATTTATGTTTACAAATCAAACTTTATTTTATCGTTTACAGAATCGAATAGTTAACTTGGATTAGATATCACTTATTACATGATATAACTAACACATCACAAGCTACATCCATTTAATACATATTTATTTTTATTTGCCTAATAATAAGTAACTCTCTACGTTTTTTGATTCACTAACTTGGTTTAAATGAATTTGTACAAACATTAATACATGTAACGTTTTATTCTGTGAATGATACAGATCAATTGTTAATGCCGAATCCAGTAGAGATCTGATTCTATAAAAAGATACTAAACGAATAAATGTATAGTATAACAACAATGGTTGTTAATACTACTAGAAAAAAAAACGGTTACATGAACTCTCTTGATAAACAACCGACTTCTAATTGAAGTAAGCAGTGATGATATCATGCACAATAATAATCAAAACATCACAGTTAAAACAGTAAACTCGGAAAATACAATACAAACAATGATTTACTAATTAGATAATTTTAAAATATGTTTCATCAACAAGACTAATTAGTTTCAATCAATCAGTAATGAAAAAACACAATAAAATTTACAATTTTCCAAATATTGAATGATTGAATGAGCAAAGGTAGTTTATTTAAATACACCAATGAATAATAACATGATAGTAACATAATATTTTATTTGAAATGATCACGATCAACCGACAGATTATATCAAACTTACATAAATTGTTCTCAATTAATGAATATAGGAAAATTTGACATAATACTTGTATATTTTGAAAATACTCCTAACTCAAGCTACTTAATCGTAGTATAGTTAAAACATTTAGAGAATATTAACATAAATGATCAACTATTCATTAGTCTGGTTTCATATAAATTTATATATTCCATGATTTAGTTCATTGATTGTTATAAGATAAACATTAATATGAATAAAATAATCATATATGAAGACAGGAACTTTATTTTTTTTCTCTCACTTCAATATACCAGGATTATTAACAATTTTTTTTTCAAGATCGTATTTCAGTCTAAACAAAATATTAAATGAAATAATATTCACATTGATATTGATAATTCAATTCGTTGTTTAAAATCCAAACATGTGAATAATTCCATTTACTGGACATATTACACAAAAATATTATTATCAGAAGAGATTTTCGTGGATATTATAATAATTTCAATAGTCGAGATCATGAGTCAGTTGAAGCTTGAACACCTGGAAACACTGGACGACCGTTCCGTCTAATTGCGGGACTTCTCAGCGGTGCGCATTCACGACATCGCCTCGCGAGATTCGAAACCAAAACCTATCAGTCTCGCGAGCGAGCGCTCAACTAGTAGACCACTGAGCTGATCGGCATCCAACGGTGCTAATGTCTAACTTAAATTAAACTACGAAATTGAGCGACGCATGGTCTAGCTTCAATCGACTCATCATCTCAACTATTGAACTTACTATATTAACCACAAAAGCCCCTTCTGATATTAATCAATATATGCTCACTAGTGACTGACTTCAAGAGGTATTTCCTGGAGTTTTAGTGAGAAGTACTAACCAGTGGAGTTCAACCGGGTCTGTTGTGAGATAGTAACTCACTGATGACAATGGTTGATATGTCGCTCATTTTCGTGGATGAGTTGAAGTGAGACACTAACACCGTTGGATGCCGGCTCAGTGGTCTAGTGTTTAAGCGTTCGCGAGCAAGACTTATAGGTCCTGGGTTCGAATATCGCAAGGTAGTATTGTGGATACGCATCGCGGACGAGTCCCACAATAGGACGAAACAGTCGTCCAGTGCTTCCAGGTTTTCCATGGTGGTCTAGATTCAATTGACACATGTTCTCAACTATAGAAATATCATTACTGACAATTTCATTAAGTAATAAAAATTACAATAATTAAAATTACAAGTTCATTAACATGGAGTTTGTAGATATGATTCAATGTTTTAGATTGTTCATGTTATTCATTAAAGTTAGTTGAAAATTAAAATCAGTTTAGGTGTTGTGGAGATTGTTAAGTTTTTAATTGAAATCATGAGTCAATTGAAGCTAGACCACCATGGAAAACTTGGAACCACTGGACGGCTGTTTCGTCCTAGTGTGGGACTCCTCAGTGGTGCGCATTCACAACCCCATCTCGCGAGATTCGAACCAAGGACCTATCAGTTTCGCGCAAGGCGCTTAACCAACTAGATCACTTAGCCGGCATCCAATGGTGTTAATGTCTTACCTCAACCAATCCACGAAATTGAGCGACCATCTTCCATTGCACTGAGGTAGACACCTGTTTCTACCCGACAGGGATTAGCTCCACTGGTCACGGCTGACAGATCCTGGGTTCGAATCTCGCGGGGTGCTGGATCTTGGATGCTCACTGTTGAGGAGTCCCATACTAAGACGAAACGGTCATCCAGTGCTTTCAGGTTTTCCATGGTGGCCCAGCTTCAATTGACTCATGATTTCAATAAAAAATTAAAATGTTTGTTTTTGTTTTCATAAAGTACAATGATAAATACCGAAAAATAATCTTATATTTTCTTTATACCGATGTATTGATTTATTTGTTTGTTTTTTTCACTTCCAATTGAATTTTATTATAACCAACATGAAAAACAAATAGGTAATTTCTCTCTCTAATATTAGAAATTATAATTGTCTTTTATTTTTTGAAATATCA